CCAACCCACTACACCGTCCATTCTACCCTGCATTGCCTCTGCCTCTCCTCCAGCATCTACCTGGCCTGGATCCCCTCCACTCAGCTAGGTTGCAAGGGTCCCATGGTATGCCCCCACACATTCCCTGACTTGCTCAGTAGAGGCAGTGATACCCCAGTGTTAGTGCCGCAGGACTGTGTGTCTGTGTCCTCTTCCACGTGTCTGTTGGCCTCTCATTCCTGCCATTAAAGCTTGCAAGGCAGGCACGTGGCACCACTTGCTGAGCTCTGAGAGCTCCTCCAGGGCTCACATGTGGTGCCTTTGGTTGGACTTTAATCATAACCAAATCAGTAATTAGAACCTGGCACCTTTCCTTACTCTAAACTGTCTTCTATGTAAATAGGGCATCTGATTTGTGCTGATGCTAATGAAGCAGACGCCCTGGTCTGAGGAATGTTGAAAACACCAGCAGGAAGGCCCAGGCATATCTGCAAGAACAAGTGCCTGCCAGGTTCCTGTCAGCAGAGGGCTGAGGTTGATGTAAGATGAATAAAATATTTTGACAACACGAAGCCAGAAGCCCTTAAGGTATGGGGAAAAAAAAAAAAACAGCTGGCTTTTGCCATCCGTGGAATCGTAAATTTCACAGGCTGAGTCACAGCTCTTGTTACTCAGGTATCATCAATTGAAATCTCCCCACTTGAAGGATGTGATCCAAGAAACCCACCCACGTGCAAGCTGGAGTGAGGCTGGGAGCCTGGTGGGCTGGGTGGGAGGATGGGCATGACAGCAGCATCTAGGGGGCTTCTCACTGAAGCACAGCCAGGGTGAGGGAGCCGCCCTGGCTGGCAGTTGGTCACCTAGAGACAGTAATATGCTGCCAAATCCAACTCCCTGCACTTTTCAAAGGGATACAATATTGCTCTCAGTAGCACAGACAGTGCCAGGCTTGTCACCAAGGTTGACACCCCACCTCTGCATGGCCCATCTCTTGTCCTGTGGGCAGAAATGGGCACCCTACACGGACCCAAGATAAACTTCATATCAATGCCTACACAGCAGAACAACTTGGGTCTCTGGGCAGGGGGTGGGGGTACACCTGCACTGCCACCTGCTCCATGGCACTCTATTTACAAACATTTATCAAAATCTTACTACATGCCAGGAAGCAATGATTTAAGTCATGGGCACTGCCCTTGAGATGACACCTGGCTGGTGAAAAAATGTGAGTGTAGCAGAATAAGGGCACCACCCACAGGATGCAGAGCCAGGCATATGGGAGCTCTGTTACAAAACCTGGTGGGTGAGAAGGTACCTGGAACAGAAAGGCACTCAGGGTGGAAGCCCTTACTACCATCACCACCACCATCACTGTGTTAGTCAGCTTTGGGTCACTATAACAAATACCAGACATGTCAACTTCTAAAGACAAAAGGGTTATTTTGGCCCACAGTTTCAGCTCATGAGCAGTGGCCCTCGTTTTAGTCTTGTGGCAAGGCAGTACCTCATGGTGGGAAGGCATAGCAGAGCAAAACCAGCACCTCGAGGTTGGACAGGAAAAAAAAAAGAGGAAGAAGAAGAGACAAGGACCCACTATACCCTTCAAGGGCACAACCCCAATGACCTACAGATTTCCCATTAGGCTCCACTCCTTAAAGGTTTCACCACATCCCAGTTGCATCTTTCTAGGAGCAAGCTCTTATCACATGAACCTTTGGGGACTCTTAAGATCCAAACTATTGCAATCATCCTTACCATCTTTAAAATCATTACACCCCTCCATCATCACCACATTGGCATGATCATCACTATCACTATAATCACCATCCCTTTTACTATATCACCACCACTACACCCAGGAACAGTAGCCATAGCAATACATCATTGAGGTGCCAGTATGAAAGAGACATATTTAGTTTTCACACATTATTTCATCTCAGAAATAACCAGACCCCTGGTGGGAATGCTGCTTCCTGCAGAGCTGGTATAATGTCAAGTTGCACAGTTCTGCAGGAGGACGTGCAATAGTCCTTAGGAGCAATGAGCAATGCTGTTCTCAACTCCTGACTACAACTAGAGGACTTTTTTTGTTTTCAGGACACTATCTGCAGAGAGTGAAGGATTTTTCTCATTTCAGGATGCTGAGTCTCTATGTCAAGCCTTTATCTATGGCCAGAATTAAGACAGCTGTGTGGTAGCTGGCATCCAGGGCTGGGAGAGAAGGCCTGCCATAGAGAAGGGCACATGGAAAAGATGGGGAATTTTGCAGTTTTCACTGTGTGCATGAGCCTCAGATGGCTGTGGTCAGGAGCTGTCAATGGGTCTCATAGCCAATGATGTGGGAATGACGGGTTGTACCATCCTGGGCACATCATGATTCCTTTCAGTCTTGCTGGGCCTATTCAACATACTGGGGAACTGAGAGACATGTATCAGGGACCCCAGCAAGGCAGTCTTTGCTTTCCTCCTGACAGAGGAAAATGGCCCCTGGACACTTTCAAAGTGCAGGTTTTTCAGCATCCCAACCTTCTGAAGATGTTCCGGGATCTCAGAATCTGCTGGTTAACCACCATACTTTAATGAGTTTCCCTGATAGTATCTAGAAATTTTTGCTTTCTGTTGGTCATCAATCTAGCCTTTTGCAATTTAAGAAATGCAAGTGAAGGTACTGAAATTTCAACATCAAGAGGGTTCAAGTGTTCTCCCTACTTGCCAGGGAGGAAAGGAACATTCCCTTCCCCACCTATTTGGGCTGGAAACAGATATAAACATTCTATCAAGAAGAGATGTCTTCAACTGAGATCCAAAAGCCAGTCACACAGGTTGTCTGGAGGTCACCTGTACCTTCCAGGCCTCTTTATATAAGTCACAGGCTTGCTCCATCTCCCAGCTAAATGCTTACCTAAAACAGGAAGCTTGTGCTGGAAGAGGGAGCCGGCTGGAGGAAAAGCATGGGTGGCTCTGCCCAGGTCCTAGTGCTGAGTAGCACTTCAGTGCCCATGATCCCTGCTTAGGAACAAGCAGCACATTTGCAACGAGTTTCCTACAAGAAGGTCATTTTCAAATTTCAAGAAGATCTCAATGATTTGTATCCAGTTTGCATATATATCTGATCTTCTGAAATCTCTACAATTCTAAAGATACAAAAAAAAAAAAAAAAAAAAAAACCAATCGGGCAATGGCCCAAGATGCCTGTTGAACATGAATAAATTAACAAATATTTTAAATCTTCATGATCACTCACCCAAGCACTGAATTTTACTGGTCAATTGAAATATCAGTCCTTTAATTTCAAAATTGAAATTACTTTTAAAATAAAATAAAAATCCTCAGTTACCAAGGATTTGAAATTAAAATTATAATGCCAAGTATTAAAGTACCAAGTGCATCAAGTAATTTAAAAACAGCCAATGTAAGGAAGAAAGATAGGACTTGGCCTTCTCAATCCCAGGCTTTATACCTGTTTCATTACAACAGGAACAGGAATCTCAAAGGACTGAATTCAGTCCAATGGAAAATAGTAACCTGAAGATACCATTGTATGGGTCCCTGGGCATAAATGACTCTTCCTCACACACACTCAGATGCCTGCAGCCTCTTCCAAATTTCAGGAGAAATTTTAATCCCAGAGAAAAGACTCATAATTTTAATTTTTCCAAGTAATTTTTAAAGAAGGTCTATTAAGATAAATAACATGCCATCGTGCAGGTTTTGTTCCCACTAAAACCTTTTTTTCAAACCCAGAACTTCTTGAATGCATTGGATTAAGTGAGCTAATATATCTAAGTGTTTAGACCTGGACAGAATCCTTGGTCACTGCTACTATTGCTGTTGTGGTGGCTGTGGTTGTTATATGGATGTATTGTAGAGTCTGACAACCTAATTGAGGGAAGCTCTTCCAGCTCAGTGAGGTGATGTACATGGTATGAGTTACTCAGATCAGCCCACTCTTTGCTCACTGGTGATCCCAGTACATCAGAGGTGATGTGAACTGGCATTCTTCCCACCTTCCATCACCAAACACAGTAGGACCTCCTTTTCATAAACAGTGTAACACACTCCGTCCCTTACCACTGAAGTCACAGGGTCAACTGGCAGCCCTACTCATCAAGGAAGCTGGAGTCTTGTCTGCAAAGCATGCATTCCTGCCTTGAGTGGCCCAGACCTGAGTCAGGCTGCAATCCTCACTTGTCTGCTTCCAAAGAGGGAACTCTGGGTCCACCCCACCTGTGCAAACCTGAGAGGACCATGAAGCCAACTGGCACTGTAGACAATGTGAAAGTAACTCAGGGGTGGATCCCTCTAACCAGTGTCTGTGGGAAGATGAAAAGGGCCATTACGCCAAGATGCCAGACTGATGCTCAACCTCCAGACACACCTCTCTCCATTACTTCATTCCCCAACCTTCAGATTCAATGATGTGCCTGGCACTCTTCCAGAACAATCCAGGTTACTATCAAATGTTCCCCGTGTTAGAAAGGGAGACATGAATGCCAAACGGGCCCATGGAGTTGTCTATTCATGGATGGGATAAGTATCCTTCCTCCATTAACCTACTAAGATTCTTGGAGTGAGAAAGGCTTTACTATTAAGCACATAGTGCAGATATGAAAACCAAGGCTTGGAGAAGGTATATACTGGCACACAGCTGAGTAGGAGGCAGAGGGGAATCTGCTTCAGGAGGCCTGGCTGCCAACATTCTCCCCACTGGCTGGCTGCAGCTCTAGCAGACATAACCAGAGTGAAACGAAGGCCCAGACAGCTCTCTTCAGCCAGCTGGGCCCGATCCCCACCCTGCACTGGCTCTAATGGCACGTTTTGTGCCCTGTTCTTCCCACCCTTCAAATGAGCGACCAAGGGCCTATGGTGGCACAGTACTATTTTGATCTGAGGTCACCATTCTGTATGACAATAGAAACTGTGAGAGGAATATTCCCCAATGTGAGAGTTTCGGTCAAAGCTAACCACCCAGTCGGCTCCTTTCTCATCAAGTGTCAATATGCCATGGAGTGCAGGCTTACCTTGCCGCCCGGGGTTCCTGCTGGGGCCCTCGGCTGCGTCAGGCAGCCTGCTGCTCACCCGGAGCCCACCTCCCATGCCATCTGGACACACGGGGCCATTGGCCATACTGTTGAGGGTGTTAATGTGGGTTGGATAAGGCTCAAAGGTGGGGTCCAGCTCCAAGATCAGCCTGTTGAGTTGTTCAATGGACTGGTCTATGTCCAGGGTGGGAGAGCCTGGGGAGGGGCCCACGTTCAGGTCCTGGCTGGTTCCGTTCATGACCTTATCTTCTGGAAACCTGGGCTGGAACACTTTGCTAGGACAGGGTTGCTGTGTGTCAGGGGGATTCGGTCCATTGCCAATGCCTCTCTGGACAGCCACTCTGCTACTGGTTCCACGGGTTGGGGTGATAGGAAGCCGTGGCTGTGTCTGAGGCAGGCCAGAACTGTCTGCTGTGCCCTGACTGCCTAGCCTGGCCTCCCCATCGGGGGAAAAGCTGTACTGATGAGCGGCCACCATCTGTTGCTGACGAACCCAGGTCTGGGTGGAGTAGCTGCTCGGCCCAAAAGCCTGCGTAGGGGTGGGCACAGAGGGTTTCCTCAGCGGAGGCTGTGGCTGCTTAGGTTCTCGGCTTCCAAACGTCCGCTCCCGCTCATAGAGGGCATCCACACCAAGGCCCAGGTCAGGAGCAAGGGTGCCGTGCGGATCTTCACCAACATTGCTACCAAAGCCATCAGACAGGAGGGAGTTCTGGCTGCTCTTGTGGCAGGTGAAGGGTCCCAGGTGGGCCGACTGCGGCCCTTCAGAGGAGGAGAGGGTGCCCAGGCTGTCAACACTGTGCAGGTCATGGTGGGGCATCTCATCATCCAGAATATCTGTTTCCCGGTCCTTCAGGGTGGCATCTCCATTCACATGGACTTGAGCAGGCACCACATGGCGTGTCCCGCTGTATTTGCTGCGAGCATCAGTCATGTCCTTAAGGGAGCCCCGGGAATCTTCCAAGCCAAAACCACTGAGCAGCTGGTCCAACTCAGCCTTCTCCTGGGGACTCAGGCCCCTCCGAACTCCCGGGGCTGAGCGCTCCTCGGTCTTATCGGTCCTGGCCGAGGCAGTGGAATGGCCTGAGTCACTGCTGACTGACAAGGTGTGGTCACTGTGGTCTGGGCTGCTGGCAGTTGGCACAGTCTGGGGACTGCCAGGGATGCCAGGATCTGAGGAGCTCTTCTTCCTCACCTTGGCATAGAGGCTGCCATCCACGGGGCCCTGAGTGTGCAGAACTGCAGAGGAAAGCAAGAGACAGGCTGTAAGCCGGGGAAGAGGAAAGCGCAGCCACTCACAATGGGTCCGGACACTTGTCTAAACAGATAAATGAATTCACAATACACAACAGGCACAATAACCAGGGACCAACACTCTGCTGTGGTCCCCAAATCCACAGATACTCCGAAGAGTGAATGCTAATGAGCCTTAAGATGCTAGAATCACCTTCCCCTTTCTATGCAAAAAAAATTGTCCTTCCTTGAAGCTAAGAGAAACCTCATCCTCTGAATCATTTTGCCTAAAGGGCTCATGGTTAATGTCTTTGTAATTTGGAAAGTGAAGTCCACTCAGCTCATAAGTCCCCAAGAACTGACTGTGCATCTAAGACAGGAGAACTTCTATTCATAATCTACTAGCTAAGTGGTGAGTAACAAACTCATTAAATCGATAAATGGAATATGTCGTCAACAAACCTGCTGTCCTCCCAACATTCCAGAATCTGTTAAATTCTAAACATACAACCCCCAATGGAAAGGGAAAGTACAGGAAAGGATCCTGAGCCTTCATATTTAGCGTAACATCTTTGGGCCACATAGGTGCCTGATGACTGTGTCATAGGTGTCATTCCACACACTGACCCCCATCCATGGAATGTCAGGAAAACAGAAATCAGGCCTGTGGTTCATGGTGGAAGAGCTGAACCCGCTGCTGCTGTTATTAATCAGAGAATTGGCAGCGGCATTCAGAGACTCCCAAGCCACAGTCTGCTGACTGGCAGCCGTTCATTGCCTTAGCCACACATGGTGTGTCACAGCAGGAGCCTCCTAAAATAAGCTAGAGTTTGTAGTCAGCACATCTCACTCCACAGGGCCTCCCCCACCCTCCTTCAGTTTCTCAACTGTGAAATTGCAGGCATTCCACAACAGGGGAGCTACAGATGGCTGGAAACCCAAGCTGCTTGGGCACCTAGAATTTGAGACTTGAGCCACCACCGCCTGGCAGCAACTGAGTATGACCCTTCAGCCACTCTGAGGGACCTGCCCTGAGCATGTGCCTCACAGTCCTCAGGTTCCAGGTTGGAAACATGGCCAAGGTCAGTGGTGGCTGGCTGGAAAGACATGGAAGGGTCTGGAGAGGTATTGGGATACCATGCCAAGAGCTCACAGAACCCCAAGATCACACAGCCCCTGAGAACACACACAGCCCTGGGCTTCCTTCTTCTGACACCTAAGGGACAGTGTGCAGAGATGAAGGTTATAAGATGGAAATACCAGGGTATAGTCTAGTTTAGAAGACCCAATCCTCATCGCTTGGGGGAGGGAGAATCTGGGGGACAAAAATGATACACAAAATGCTGTAAATGAGCAAAGATTTGAAGATAGAGCAATTGTTGACATGAGCACATCCTGGATTGGGCCATGGGATTAATGCAATATAGGGCGTTAATGACAGATGCTGTTGACTGAGCCCTGTTACGTACTTTCTATCGTGTACTTTCTCCAAGTCTCACAGTATGACCCAACATAATAAATTATGAACTTTATTTCATAATAAAGTATGAACTTTATTTCTTATTTATCTAGAATGAATATGAACTAAGGCTTGAAGATAATAAATTTCCCAAGATCAAGCAGCTGTCAGGAGGCAGAGTGGGACCTAGAACCCAGGCTCTGAAGCCTGAGGGCCCCTGCAGTCCCTACCTGTGGGCCTACCTGTAGGAAGAGTACCAGAAGGGCACACACCTGAGACTCTGGGTGGCCCTACCCATGAGGAGTCACATGGCCCTGCCCAGGGACCAGCAAGTGACCTTGGCAGAGCCTGAAACACCTGCTGCACCCAGCTCTAGGCAAACCAGACAAAGGGACGCCTGGAAAGAGGCCCAAAATAGAAGGCATGTGCAAATGTCACCTCTACAGGTTCAAATGTGCATAGTTAATCCATTTATTGAGAATCATAGATTGTGTAGTGAATGGCCCCTGGAGAAAGGCCTGGCCCCAGACAGACCTAGGTTCAAGCCCTGGCTCCCCCTAGACGGGCCCTCAGGGTTTTACCCAACCAGGGTGTTCACCTGACCTTCAACTTCCCAGCTATAAAATGGGGGGAGGGGTAGATGTTCCACGTGAAGGCCGGCCGACCTGGGAAGGAAATGACAGCGCACACCACTGAGCATCTTTATAGCTCAGAGTAAACACCAGCTTAATCTGGTTTCAGTCCAGGGTGCTCTGTTGCTAGGAAAACTCAACAACAGACCACCTGGTAAATGGGTTCTTCCTCCCAGCCCAGTATGAGGTGGAAAAGAGGAGAGAACATTGAGAAGTGATTTCTGCTCTGTAAGAACCTCAGAGACTCCACACTGGATGCTTGTTGGACTAGTCAGTTCCCTGGACCAGAAAGGCAACCAAAGCACAGACCACTGAGCCACACAGCCATAGGAACCAGTCTGCTCACTACAGGAACAGATTTTATGCTGCTGAGATTTTTACGTTTATGACTTCCATAAAGTCATAAATATGACTTCTCCCTAACGTGGAATTAACTAGCATGATGTTTTGTTGATTTGTTTTTTTGTTTGTTTTTAAAGTAACTCAAGAATAAGTTGTAAAAATTTCTTCTAATTTAAACTGGGATGAGGCCAAAAAATGCCTGTTAATCATTCTGAGGTACGATCAGTTGGCTAATCCCTTACTAAGAATAGTGCATAAACAAGGACCTATAAAATGTAAAAAGCAGGATATTCCCTTGGCTGGGAGGTCATGAATAATCCTATATATTTTCTAGCAGTAGAAATCTTAAAATGGTAATAGTAAAATGACCATTTCCATCCACTGGCTATGTATTAGATCCATGCCAAACACAGTTGAGCCTTTAGGAAAAACTGGGTTTCATCCATCTGACAGCCCAGGCGGAATATTGGAGTCTTCCCAGAGGCAGGCAGCCATTGGACAGAGTGGAGCCATGGAGCCCCATGCAGGGACAAAGACCAGACTGGGCTTTCATAAACTTCTTACTCTACACATAGATAACTTTCAACATCAGAAAATGCCCAACAAGTGTTAAATCTTCAGGACAAGAAAATGAAGCAAAGTGATTCAATCCCAAGACTGGACCTGCCCATGTCTCTGAATCACTTTGCAGGAGCACAGATCTTCCTAAAGGGAGGGACTTCCAAGAGGCCATCCCAGAGCTTCACAGACACAGACCTGCACCCTAAAGCCTCAGGGGGAAGGACAGAGAAGGGACCCGAGCATTTATTATTTCTGTCCCGTTCTCTGTAAAGAGCTACTGCTTTGCAAAGGAAGGACCTGAACTTCTGTTTTGGACAAAGGAAATACCTAAGTTCATACTTCGAGATAGAGTCCCAGTTCGTCATTACTCTGTGTATGTTGCTGACATGACATTTAGAATGTCTGAGCCTCTGGTTCTTCACTGATAAAATGGAATAATTATTTCTATCTTTCAATGATGTTGTAAGAACTAAAGAATAGGTATCTACAAAGTTCCAACTCATAGGACCCTAAGAAGGGTACCCCTAATTACGACTGGACATTCTTCCCAGTGGACAAGGCCCTTTCCCGGGACTCATCCCCTCACGGCCAGCCTGCTGCTCCCAGACCACTGAGGCACACAAACCTGCCTCAGAGCCTGTGCTCTCACCACTCGTCACTCTCTGCCTCCAGGGCTCCTGCACATGCTCAGCATGCCCTTCACTGCCTTCCTCTCTTCCTGGGATTTTTACCTGTGACACAAACCGTCACCCACTCTTAACTCATGTTTCCTGCACATTGTGTGCTGTCCTTCTCACCCACAGGTTTGAACAGAGGCTCCCTTGGGCAGGGTTTTCTTTGTTTTGCTCCCTCTGGGACTCAGCACGAGAGAACAGCCCTGGCGCCCAGTGGACATTGAGTAATTGAGAGACTAAATGTTCCGGCTTGTTCTCACATGACAAAACCTAGGAAGGTGTTTTGAAAATGAACTCAGCTGCCTTTGCAGGCAAAAAATAAAATAAAATAAAATAAAAAAAACAACAACAACAAAACCTTCCGAACATAGAGTAGTAAGAGTCTGAAGGTAGAGGCTCCCTCAGCCCTTGGTCACCTGCAGCCCAGGTCCTGCTCTCTCTGGGCCCCCAAACACCCACTTCTAGGCAGCAAAGCCTGTCTGGCCATCCTTGGGAATCTGGATGGGGACTGGCCGTGGTTCCTCACTCACCTGGCTGGTCTTCAAATGACACAGAACAAAAGTGGAAAAGTACCAGAATCACCCCGCCTCAGAGTTCCAAAATTTTAAAGAAAACAAAAAAGTTGTGTGCCAGTGGAGTAGGAAGCAGGATGCAGAGATCCCAGGGATGGGTGAATGCTATCTGACCAGTGTGCTCACAACTGAGGCACAAAGGTAAACAAGCCGGAGTCCTGGCAAACAGCAGGTACACAACCAAGGGTCACTCACAGTTTGCCATTTCCAGCCCCCTGCCACCTCTGAGGTGGCCATTCTTTGTACAGACCTACACATGTCCAAGAGCCAGGACCGGGGACATGTTTCTTATCTCATCTACAAATGTCCATCTTTCTGCTTGAGTTTAGGGCTGCCATGCTGTGGGCCCCTCATCTAAACACTCTGGCTGTTGTTTTGCTTTCTAAGACCAGATGCAAAAACTGCAGATAAAGGGCAATACAGAGAGAACAGAAAGGAAATGTAACTGGGGGAGTGAGGGCAGGGTCCTCGCATGGCTGACTACATTCCTTCACGAAATCTAACAGTAGTCCAGACTCCACTGCTAGAAGCCCCTTGACATCCCGGTTAATCACAGAAGGACACCTGTCTTTCCCCCATGGCAGAGGGCTCCTCAAAACATAGCTCTAGTATGGAAAAGTGACACAGAAAGTCATTTGCTGTATCAAGACCAAAAAAATGAAGCAGTCAACCAAATATACACACCTGTGTCCCTGGGCTAAGGTTCCTACCTCCATGGCTTTAAGAGACAGGGATAGTGAGCCCTACCCTTCCCCACTGTACCCCT